TGTGATTATAATGTGCTATGAAGTGAAAATTATTTCTGTTCATGCAAACTACTAGCGTAATCCATCATTATTTTCGTGCCATCAGCAATATAGTGTCATCAGCATCAACCTTACTTTGTGGTTTGCACAACTAGAGGCCTAGTTTGATATCGCCGGAATCACTGTTGACTACACGAAATTCAATCATGTGATATCTGCAATGGAATCTGATATTCTCAATAGCGTTTGTGATATCGTTTTACACCCACCTGTAACTTTGTGGAGAACTCTTTATTATTATTATTTGTCTGCTGCCCCGAGAGAGGGCGCTACCAGCTTTCTCCCTCTTCCTCTCTGGAGGAAAATTCCAACTGGTTACTCGGTTTCTGGCTGCCATCGGTGAAGCACGCACTCAACATTCTTTCCTTCCGTGATGTTATCGTGGCTGTAATATGACTTTCTTGATTTTTACTCATGCGGACTTGGGAACTGAAAAAATACTCATCTTGTAACTACATGCAATGTGATTGTGTATGAGTGAATATATGTTAAAATATATATCATCCTAGAATTAAATATAAATGTTAATATTACCGAGTCAGATTTTGTTAACATTCAATGTGCAATCAAAAATGGCATCCATCAACAACAGCCATAAATGGTGACCCCGACGTGATTCGAACACGCAACCTTCTGATCTGGAGTCAGCCAACTGCGACGAATGCAGTAACTATAACGAATCATGCGCTTCAAATTTGAAGCCAGTGAAATTCCGAAACCTGGCATGTTCGTCTAGTTCTAGTAGATGCAGAACACGATTCCCTGTTCCTGTCATGCTGTCGAATGGAAAGTTCATTTGCCAGGCTGCAACTTTATCGGTCAGGAAAGGCGCTGTTTTGGAACAGCTGACGCAACCTAAGGAACGAAAAGAAATGGTTCATGATGGTACCACTCAGACCAATGACACAATCGACACCATACCTGCTTCGAGATCAAGCGTGGTTTCTTCCTTCACCACCCTTGTTAATCCGAACTCCATGAACCAGTTGAAAGAGCAGGATGTACGTCTCTTGGAATATTTGGGTGTTTCAGTAATATGTGATCTCATGGTAGAAGATCGGAAGATTCACACTGGCGTCACTGTCGGCTCTTCTGGGAAAGTTAATAAGGACATATACGAAGATTTCCAGATACTACAAATGCCTTATCCTGGTTGCGAGTTCTTTAGAAAATATCATGAAGCAAATAGAGACCCTACCGGACTGAAATTCGACTGGGGTCGGAGAGATGTAACTACCGAATTTAAATTGCCTGAACGCTTGTCTGAGCCCTCCAGCTACAGATTTCACAGATTATAAGGAATGGGATATCGTTATGTTAACAAAAGAATACCTTTTACTTCAACTGAGAGTAATTATTATCCTCTGGTAATAATTGTGGTTTTCTTGTGCACTGCGTCTGCGAATGGGATCGCACCCCATTGTTCATAACCCTTGTGCGCTTGTCACTCTGGGCAGATGGCTTGATCCACCAGGCACTGACTCCTGTTGAAATGGCATATCTCGCCATTGGATACGATTGGTACCTTTTCGGACACGACTTGCCTACACGTCTTCGGAATAAGGAAGAGGTCATGCATTTCTGTTTTAACTTCATTTCCGAGATTGCTTCAGATGACTTTTCCATGACCAGAGAATGGCATTCATCAACAACAGCCATAAATGGTGACTCGTCAAGTTAGTGAACACGTGCCTCCTGTAACCTGCTTGCATCCTCAAGTTCTGTGATTATAATGTGCTATGAAGTGAAAATTATTTCTGTTCATGCAAACTACTAGCGTAATCCATCATTATTTTCGTGTCATCAGCATCAACCCTTACTTTGTGGTTTGCACAACTAGAGGCCTAGTTTGATATCGCCGGAATCACTGTTGACTACACGAAATTCAATCATGTGATATCTGCAATGGAATCTGATATTCTCAATAGCGTTTGTGATATCGTTTTACACCCACCTGTAACTTTGTGGAGAACTCTTTATTATTATTATTTGTGCGCTGCCCCGAGAGAGGGCGCTACCAGCTTTCTCCCTCTTCCTCTCTGGAGGAAAATTCCAACTGGTTACTCGGTTTCTGGCTGCCATCGGTGAAGCACGCACTCAACTTTCTTTCCTTCCGTGATGTTATCGTGGCTGTAATATGACTTTCTTGATTTTTACTCATGCGGACTTGGGAACTGAAAAAATACTCATCTTGTAACTACATGCAATGTGATTGTGTATGAGTGAATATATGTTAAAATATATATCATCCTAGAATTAAATATAAATGTCAATATTACCGAGTCAGATTTTGTTAACATTCAACGTGCAATCAAAAATGGCATCCATCAACAACAGCCATAAATGGTGACCCCGACGTGATTCGAACACGCAACCTTCTGATCTGGAGTCAGCCAACTGCGACGAATGCAGTAACTTTAACGAATCATGCGCTTCAAATTTGAAGCCAGTGAAATTCCGAAACCTGGCATGTTCGTCTAGTTCTAGTAGATGCAGAACACGATTCCCTGTTCCTGTCATGCTGTCGAATGGAAAGTTCATTTGCCAGGCTGCAACTTTATCGGTCAGGAAAGGCGCTGTTTTGGAACAGCTGACGCAACCTAAGGAACGAAAAGAAATGGTTCATGATGGTACCACTCAGACCAATGACACAATCGACACCATACCTGCTTCGAGATCAAGCGTGGTTTCTTCCTTCACCACCCTTGTTAATCCGAACTCCATGAACCAGTTGAAAGAGCAGGATGTACGTCTCTTGGAATATTTGGGTGTTTCAGTAATATGTGATCTCATGGTAGAAGATCGGAAGATTCACACTGGCGTCACTGTCGGCTCTTCTGGGAAAGTTAATAAGGACATATACGAAGATTTCCAGATACTACAAATGCCTTATCCTGGTTGCGAGTTCTTTAGAAAATATCATGAAGCAAATAGAGACCCTACCGGACTGAAATTCGACTGGGGTCGGAGAGATGTAACTACCGAATTTAAATTGCCTGAACGCTTGTCTGAGCCCTCCAGCTACAGATTTCACAGATTATAAGGAATGGGATATCGTTATGTTAACAAAAGTATACCTTTTACTTCAACTGAGAGTAATTATTACCTCTGGTAATAATTGTGGTTTTCTTGTGCACTGCGTCTGCGAATGGGATCGCACCCCATTGTTCATAACCCTTGTGCGCTTGTCACTCTGGGCAGATGGCTTGATCCACCAGGCACTGACTCCTGTTGAAATGGCATATCTCGCCATTGGATACGATTGGTACCTTTTCGGACACGACTTGCCTACACGTCTTCGGAATAAGGAAGAGGTCATGCATTTCTGTTTTAACTTCATTTCCGAGATTGCTTCAGATGACTTTTCCATGACCAGAGAATGGCATTCATCAACAACAGCCATAAATGGTGACTCGTCAAGTTAGTGAACACGTGCCTCCTGTAACCTGCTTGCATCCTCAAGTTCTGTGATTATAATGTGCTATGAAGTGAAAATTATTTCTGTTCATGCAAACTACTAGCGTAATCCATCATTATTTTCGTGCCATCAGCAATATAGTGTCATCAGCATCAACCTTACTTTGTGGTTTGCACAACTAGAGGCCTAGTTTGATATCGCCGGAATCACTGTTGACTACACGAAATTCAATCATGTGATATCTGCAATGGAATCTGATATTCTCAATAGCGTTTGTGATATCGTTTTACACCCACCTGTAACTTTGTGGAGAACTCTTTATTATTATTATTTGTCTGCTGCCCCGAGAGAGGGCGCTACCAGCTTTCTCCCTCTTCCTCTCTGGAGGAAAATTCCAACTGGTTACTCGGTTTCTGGCTGCCATCGGTGAAGCACGCACTCAACATTCTTTCCTTCCGTGATGTTATCGTGGCTGTAATATGACTTTCTTGATTTTTACTCATGCGGACTTGGGAACTGAAAAAATACTCATCTTGTAACTACATGCAATGTGATTGTGTATGAGTGAATATATGTTAAAATATATATCATCCTAGAATTAAATATAAATGTTAATATTACCGAGTCAGATTTTGTTAACATTCAATGTGCAATCAAAAATGGCATCCATCAACAACAGCCATAAATGGTGACCCCGACGTGATTCGAACACGCAACCTTCTGATCTGGAGTCAGCCAACTGCGACGAATGCAGTAACTATAACGAATCATGCGCTTCAAATTTGAAGCCAGTGAAATTCCGAAACCTGGCATGTTCGTCTACTTCTAGTAGATGCAGAACACGATTCCCTGTTCCTGTCATGCTGTCGAATGGAAAGTTCATTTGCCAGGCTGCAACTTTATCGGTCAGGAAAGGCGCTGTTTTGGAACAGCTGACGCAACCTAAGGAACGAAAAGAAATGGTTCATGATGGTACCACTCAGACCAATGACACAATCGACACCATACCTGCTTCGAGATCAAGCGTGGTTTCTTCCTTCACCACCCTTGTTAATCCGAACTCCATGAACCAGTTGAAAGAGCAGGATGTACGTCTCTTGGAATATTTGGGTGTTTCAGTAATATGTGATCTCATGGTAGAAGATCGGAAGATTCACACTGGCGTCACTGTCGGCTCTTCTGGGAAAGTTAATAAGGACATATACGAAGATTTCCAGATACTACAAATGCCTTATCCTGGTTGCGAGTTCTTTAGAAAATATCATGAAGCAAATAGAGACCCTACCGGACTGAAATTCGACTGGGGTCGGAGAGATGTAACTACCGAATTTAAATTGCCTGAACGCTTGTCTGAGCCCTCCAGCTACAGATTTCACAGATTATAAGGAATGGGATATCGTTATGTTAACAAAAGAATACCTTTTACTTCAACTGAGAGTAATTATTATCTCTGGTAATAATTGTGGTTTTCTTGTGCACTGCGTCTGCGAATGGGATCGCACCCCATTGTTCATAACCCTTGTGCGCTTGTCACTCTGGGCAGATGGCACTGACTCCTGTTGAAATGGCATATCTCGCCATTGGATACGATTGGTACCTTTTCGGACACGACTTGCCTACACGTCTTCGGAATAAGGAAGAGGTCATGCATTTCTGTTTTAAATTCATTTCCGAGATTGCTTCAGATGACTTTTCCATGACCAGAGAATGGCATTCATCAACAACAGCCATAAATGGTGACTCGTCAAGTTAGTGAACACGTGCCTCCTGTAACCTGCTTGCATCCTCAAGTTCTGTGATTATAATGTGCTATGAAGTGAAAATTATTTCTGTTCATGCAAACTACTAGCGTAATCCATCATTATTTTCGTGCCATCAGCAATATAGTGTCATCAGCATCAACCCTTACTTTGTGGTTTGCACAACTAGAGGCCTAGTTTGATATCGCCGGAATCACTGTTGACTACACGAAATTCAATCATGTGATATCTGCAATGGAATCTGATATTCTCAATAGCGTTTGTGATATCGTTTTACACCCACCTGTAACTTTGTGGAGAACTCTTTATTATTATTATTTGTCTGCTGCCCCGAGAGAGGGCGCTACCAGCTTTCTCCCTCTTCCTCTCTGGAGGAAAATTCCAACTGGTTACTCGGTTTCTGGCTGCCATCGGTGAAGCACGCACTCAACATTTCTTTCCTTCCGTGATGTTATCGTGGCTGTAATATGACTTTCTTGATTTTTACTCATGCGGACTTGGGAACTGAAAAATACTCATCTTGTAACTACATGCAATGTGATTGTGTATGAGTGAATATATGTTAAAATATATATCATCCTAGAATTAAATATAAATGTTAATATTACCGAGTCAGATTTTGTTAACATTCAACGTGCAATCAAAAATGGCATCCATCAACAACAGCCATAAATGGTGACCCCGACGTGATTCGAACACGCAACCTTCTGATCTGGAGTCAGCCAACTGCGAAGAATGCAGTAAACTATAACGAATCATGCGCTTCAAATTTGAAGCCAGTGAAATTCCGAAACCTGGCATGTTCGTCTAGTTCTAGTAGATGCAGAACACGATTCCCTGTTCCTGTCATGCTGTCGAATGGAAAGTTCATTTGCCAGGCTGCAACTTTATCGGTCAGGAAAGGCGCTGTTTTGGAACAGCTGACGCAACCTAAGGAACGAAAAGAAATGGTTCATGATGGTACCACTCAGACCAATGACACAATCGACACCATACCTGCTTCGAGATCAAGCGTGGTTTCTTCCTTCACCACCCTTGTTAATCCGAACTCCATGAACCAGTTGAAAGAGCAGGATGTACGTCTCTTGGAATATTTGGGTGTTTCAGTAATATGTGATCTCATGGTAGAAGATCGGAAGATTCACACTGGCGTCACTGTCGGCTCTTCTGGGAAAGTTAATAAGGACATATACGAAGATTTCCAGATACTACAAATGCCTTATCCTGGTTGCGAGTTCTTTAGAAAATATCATGAAGCAAATAGAGACCCTACCGGACTGAAATTCGACTGGGGTCGGAGAGATGTAACTACCGAATTTAAATTGCCTGAACGCTTGTCTGAGCCCTCCAGCTACAGATTTCACAGATTATAAGGAATGGGATATCGTTATGTTAACAAAAGTAATACCTTTTACTTCAACTGAGAGTAATTATTACCTCTGGTAATAATTGTGGTTTTCTTGTGCACTGCGTCTGCGAATGGGATCGCACCCCATTGTTCATAACCCTTGTGCGCTTGTCACTCTGGGCAGATGGCTTGATCCACCAGGCACTGACTCCTGTTGAAATGGCATATCTCGCCATTGGATACGATTGGTACCTTTTCGGACACGACTTGCCTACACGTCTTCGGAATAAGGAAGAGGTCATGCATTTCTGTTTTAAACTTCATTTCCGAGATTGCTTCAGATGACTTTTCCATGACCAGAGAATGGCATTCATCAACAACAGCCATAAATGGTGACTCGTCAAGTTAGTGAACACGTGCCTCCTGTAACCTGCTTGCATCCTCAAGTTCTGTGATTATAATGTGCTATGAAGTGAAAATTATTTCTGTTCATGCAAACTACTAGCGTAATCCATCATTATTTTCGTGCCATCAGCAATATAGTGTCATCAGCATCAACCTTACTTTGTGGTTTGCACAACTAGAGGCCTAGTTTGATATCGCCGGAATCACTGTTGACTACACGAAATTCAATCATGTGATATCTGCAATGGAATCTGATATTCTCAATAGCGTTTGTGATATCGTTTTACACCCACCTGTAACTTTGTGGAGAAACTCTTTATTATTATTATTTGTCTGCTGCCCCGAGAGAGGGCGCTGCCAGCTTTCTCCCTCTTCCTCTCTGGAGGAAAATTCCAACTGGTTACTCGGTTTCTGGCTGCCATCGGTGAAGCACGCACTCAACATTCTTTCCTTCCGTGATGTTATCGTGGCTGTAATATGACTTTCTTGATTTTTACTCATGCGGACTTGGGAACTGTAAAAATACTCATCTTGTAACTACATGCAATGTGATTGTGTATGAGTGAATATATGTTAAAATATATATCATCCTAGAATTAAATATAAATGTTAATATTACCGAGTCAGATTTTGTTAACATTCAATTCAACGTGCAATCAAAAATGGCATCCATCAACAACAGCCATAAATGGTGACCCCGACGTGATTCGAACACGCAACCTTCTGATCTGGAGTCAGCCAACTGCGAAGAATGCAGTAACTATAACGAATCATGCGCTTCAAATTTGAAGCCAGTGAAATTCCGAAACCTGGCATGTTCGTCTAGTTCTAGTAGATGCAGAACACGATTCCCTGTTCCTGTCATGCTGTCGAATGGAAAGTTCATTTGCCAGGCTGCAACTTTATCGGTCAGGAAAGGCGCTGTTTTGGAACAGCTGACGCAACCTAAGGAACGAAAAGAAATGGTTCATGATGGTACCACTCAGACCAATGACACAATCGACACCATACCTGCTTCGAGATCAAGCGTGGTTTCTTCCTTCACCACCCTTGTTAATCCGAACTCCATGAACCAGTTGAAAGAGCAGGATGTACGTCTCTTGGAATATTTGGGTGTTTCAGTAATATGTGATCTCATGGTAGAAGATCGGAAGATTCACACTGGCGTCACTGTCGGCTCTTCTGGGAAAGTTAATAAGGACATATACGAAGATTTCCAGATACTACAAATGCCTTATCCTGGTTGCGAGTTCTTTAGAAAATATCATGAAGCAAATAGAGACCCTACCGGACTGAAATTCGACTGGGGTCGGAGAGATGTAACTACCGAATTTAAATTGCCTGAACGCTTGTCTGAGCCCTCCAGCTACAGATTTCACAGATTATAAGGAATGGGATATCGTTATGTTAACAAAAGAATACCTTTTACTTCAACTGAGAGTAATTATTATCTCTGGTAATAATTGTGGTTTTCTTGTGCACTGCGTCTGCGAATGGGATCGCACCCCATTGTTCATAACCCTTGTGCGCTTGTCACTCTGGGCAGATGGCACTGACTCCTGTTGAAATGGCATATCTCGCCATTGGATACGATTGGTACCTTTTCGGACACGACTTGCCTACACGTCTTCGGAATAAGGAAGAGGTCATGCATTTCTGTTTTAACTTCATTTCCGAGATTGCTTCAGATGACTTTTCCATGACCAGAGAATGGCATTCATCAACAACAGCCATAAATGGTGACTCGTCAAGTTAGTGAACACGTGCCTCCTGTAACCTGCTTGCATCCTCAAGTTCTGTGATTATAATGTGCTATGAAGTGAAAATTATTTCTGTTCATGCAAACTACTAGCGTAATCCATCATTATTTTCGTGTCATCAGCAATATAGTGTGAAAAACAGTTGTGCTCTTAACAACGTGCTTGTGAGTGCTCATGCAAAAGTGCTTTGAAGTGATCTCCATATAAATCGTACAACGTGGTTACATATCAAAATAAGTTTTTCGGAATATTTTTTCATAAGTGAATTGTGTTGTGCTGAACTGCTGCTGACTGAGCAAATATTTCTCGTATAATTCAGAGGTAAACCATGCAAATTCTTAGTATTACTTATGCTTATATTCCGATAGCTTACCTGCAAAAGTGTTTCTCTCACGTTAATGTTTACGTTAACTTCATTTATTTTGCACTGGTATCGTATGTGAACTTATTAATGACTGGTCACGTGATATTCCTTTACGTCTTATTTATAAAAATACAGTATACATTGTATAGCCAAAACAAAAATGAATATATGTTTATAATATACATTATGTATTGCATAGTAAAATCCTAAATATATTTTGATAATTTGCTGAATAGAATAATATATATCTATATAGAAGTTTTAAACAGGTAGCTATTCACTGGCCATAGTTTGTCCATCCCTGAACTCAACTTTCGGATTTGATAGAGTGAGATTGTGACTACATTTTCAGTAACTTATTTGATAAAATTATGATGTGAAAATTCAAAATAAATTTAAAATCAGAAGATGAATTTAAAAGAAATACTGTGCCTAAATGTATTAATAATAATTAATGAGCCCACCAGCGGCCGAGCGGTAAAAGCTGCTAAACAACTGTAGTTCGATCCTGGGTTCGAGTCCCAGCGAACGGGCTGGCTGCATGCGCGTTTTCGTGATTTTCCCCATGTGTAACATGGATACAAGCCAGTTTCCCTTAAAAAGACCTCTACGGGGCATTCCTCCCTTTCCGTGGAGTGCCTAAGGGCGGAGCACGTAATAAGAAAAAAAAATAATAATTGATAACAAAAAAGTAAGTAATCATATAATAAATACATGCAATACTACACTTGCATGATAATTTATACGAAACTATTCCTACTTGATTTTTCTTCCTATTCGTTGATCACTGAGCATAGCTCTCCAATAACAATAACCGAAATCAGGTTAGGGTTCGAGGGTTAGTTAAGGAATATTTTGAGGTTAAAATTGCTGGTGGCATGTATCCGTTTGGTTTCGTGTATTTTAATTATGTCAAAGCATGCAAAAAATATCTGCGTAAGAGAAGGTGTGCCTTGGAGAACTTTATAAGGGATTTTTGGCTTTGCATTCATGTAACATATTGAAACACAGTGAAAATACCCATGCAATTAGGTCTCTTTTTTTTTTAGATTAGGACCTAAATCAAACTACCAGAGTTCAGTGACAGAACATCAGTTGGAAAGTAATGAATCATAGTATGCTTGTTAAGCCCGTATCACACGGCGTTTGTTTAACACGAACAACTGTTTCGGACAATTTTTTTTCACTGGTTTACTATTGATAGAAAGAAGTGCGACTTTTTCCTTCCTTTCCAAAAAAATTGCAAGTTGTTCGTTTTCAACCAATCAGCTATCAGCTTGTTTGTAATGGGGAACCAGTTTCCCCTGTGATAACCCCAAAGCGATCTATGGTAATTGGCTGTTGTGACAAAGCAGAAAAATTGTTCCAAACAGTTGTTATTCCAAAACAAACCGCCGTGTGATAGCAGCGTTAGAGTTACATGCAAGAAAGTTAAATTCTGCCCTTACTGTTTCTGAGGTTAGCATGATTGTTAGTAAAAATAGTGGATATGTTAGTTTTTATTTTATGACCACATGCACACATAAACACACACTTATTTATGCATGCATAAATAAGTCAGAGCAGAATATAATTTATTCCTATACAAACTTTATTTTTTAAATTTAGTCAAACAGTGGCAATAGTTTATATTTCAATGAAAACATTGTTTATTTCATTTATGTAAAGATAATAAATTTTCACTCATACTTTGGAAAGCATTTTGAAATTATGTAATGAAGGTACAAGTAGTAAAAGTGCCTTTTTGTTTTTCTTGTTTTTACAATTTCCCAAGAAACTGCACTGTTAAAAACAGGAATATTTTCTAATTTTATATTCTTAACGCATATTTAAAGAAAGATATGAATTTCACTAAGTTATTTTTCAACAAATTGATAACTTTGCCATGAAAGGTTCATTATTTGCTGTGATCTGCAAATATGATCTGGTTCTGTTTTAAATGGAGAAGACATGTATGTATCACCAAAATAGCTAATGAACAGTCAATTACGATCAACGCATTTCGTGGAAATTCGTTAACAGGTTGTTTTTCATTACAAACAGGAAATGGCATACTGCAAGCCAGAGGGAATATGGAGTTAGGGGATCTATGGGAACATAATGTCCAGTCCTTTCATTACTATTAACGATTTTCAGTTTGTAGCATCGCAATTGTCTTTCTAAGTGTAATTTCATCCGATTTTTTCACTACCGATTCTAGCAATGAATAGATGGAATTATTTTCGTTTAGTTAAGGAAGTTGTCGGAGACAGGGATACGTGTCTGCAATGGTGTATTTCTGAAGGATTACTGTCTTCATCAAAAACATGTTCTGAAGGGCATAATATGAAATTATGCAAAAAGAGAGATGGATTAGATATGCTTCGTTGCCGACGTACTCACGCCTCTGGTAAAGATGAGCAAGTGTCTCAGGCAAAAGGCACTTGGTTCGCCAAAACCAAACTTTCTCCTGAGAAAGTAATAATATTAACGTATATTTTTTCTCAGGGAGAAAGCTACGAAAATGCTGTCTTGCAGAGCAGCATTGACAACAAAGTAACTTCGTCGGAAACAGTGAGCGATTGGTATTCTTACTGACGCGGAGGTTTCTGAACGCTGCTACGTGCAATGCATTCATCGAAAATTGGCGGTGTCGGCTGCGTGGTTGAAATCGACGAAACGAAAATAGGCAAAAGAAAGTACAACGTTGGAAGGGTCGTTGAAGGAACGTGGATAATTGGAATGTTTCAAAGAGAAACCAAGGATTTTCGGCTAGAAATATGTCCAGAAAACAATAAATCTGCGGCGACCCTGATACCGCTAATAACAAAGCACGT